TCTCAGAATTCACGGAAGATCAATTCATTAAATCCATAAACACAGCTGGAGCATTAGTTTTCCCAAAAGGCATCACAAGAAACTCATAATGGCCATACCGCGTACGGAATGCCGTCTTTGGGATATCTTCCTCCCTTACCCTCAACTGATGATAACCAGATCTCAGGTCTATCTTAGAGAAACAACAAGACCCCTTCAACTGATCAAACAGATCATCTATACGAGGCATTGGGTACTTATTCTTAACAGTAACCCGATTCAACTTTCTGTAATCAATACAAAGCCGTAATGCTCCATCTTTCTTTTTAGCAAAGAGAGTCAGCGCTCCCCAAGGTGAAGTACTAGGGCGAATAAAACCCTTATCTAACAATTCCTAGAGTTGAAACTTCAACTCACTCAATTCAGTAGGTGCAAATCTATACGGAGCCATAGAAACCGATGCCGTGCCAGACACTAAATCAATAGAGAACTCGATCTCTCAGTGAGATGGTAAACTGGCAAGATCCTAGGGAAAAATACCAGAGTATTCACAAACTAGCATCGACAATTCAACCCGAATTTCACCACACTCTCTACTAAAAAAGCTAGCAAGGAGACAACTAAGTTCACTCCGCCCACACGGATCATATATCGGTGATAAGACTCCATCCACCTGGTCCCCCATGAAATAAAAGCAATCGCCGCTTAAGGTACATACAGTAACCTTCTGACGATAGCAATCTATAATAGCCCGGTATGACGATAACCAGTCCATACCCAATATAACATCAAAACTAAGCATGTCAATCAATACAAATGCAAAAGGTAATTGACGACCAGTAACCTCGATGTCATAACCCCGACATCCTTGTCTCAAGATAATCTCACCACCAATTGGTGACTCTACACAAATAGGAGATGCTAACTGTGCCAAGTCTAAACCCAAAACTGATACAAACGCATACGAAATAAAAGAATGGGATGCACCCGTATCAATCACCACATTAGCAACTGAATTGAAAAAAAAAAGAAGGTACCCCTCACTACAGAAGGAGAAGGTACAAGATCTGGCCCTACAACTGTATACATACGTCCAGTAGGCTTTTGCTCAACCTGCTCATCCCTTGGAGCATAAGCCTGATGCACAGACTGAGCTGAAGAGACTTCCTGATTGGCCCTCAATACTTGTGCTAACTGTGTCGGCTGGTAACTCTGTGTCTGTCTCGAACCAGACGCACCCAGGTATACCACCCAACTGTGGGCAAAATCTCTTCAGGTGCCCCACCTGCCTGCACTAATAACAAGTGAGCGACTGGCCTCTTCCCTGACTTTGGCTTTGAAAATGAGCCGAAGATGATGCTGCTCGCTGTCCTCCTCCTCTCTGAGGACAAGCTGGAGACTTGTATCCCAACTGACCACACTTAAAGCAAGTAAAATCTCCCTGCCCACCTCTTCCAGAACTTGTACTCGATATTGGAAAAGTGGACCTCGACTGAGTTCCCTGGGACTGTTGAGGGTAGGAACCCCTCTACCTTTTACTGTCTCCCTGACTATCCTGACTCCTCCTGGAGCCCCTCATCCTTTCGTCTTTTGCCTGCATAATAGTTTCAAGATGGGCTGTAGCCTGCATAAGGCACCCATAATCTCTAGTCATGGAACCGACAACTCTATACATTAACCCGGTCCTTAACCTCTTTTCAAACTCCAAACAAAGGTGCTCCTCAGTTGCCACCAACTCAGGTGCAAACCTCGACAGACTAGTAAAGGTTGCCTCAAACTCAGCCACTAGCGTGTTCAACTGCAACAATTTAGAGAATTGATCTCTTAACTTCTCCCTAACCGTGGGAGGTAGAAATTTATCCTGGAAAGCCTCAACAAAAGCCTCCCAAGTTCGTCCAATGCGCCCACGCGTATACTTCTACCACTAACCCGCATCCCCCCGTCAACTGGAAAGACGCCAAGGTCACTTTCAACTGATCATCCTCGATGCCAAGCATCTCAAATGTCTTCACTAACTGTTCTAGCCACTTATCTGCCTTCAGTGGCTTCCTAGGATCACCCACAAACTCATCTGGATTCGACTGGAAAAACTCCATCTTCAGAAAAGATGGCCCTGCTTCAACCACTTGGGCCTGGACCTGATTATCAGCCCTGAGAATGTCCATAGATTCCCTCAATGCTCCGGGCATTTCACAGGTTAAGGCGTCCATGGCCTGATGACCAATTGGTTCAGCCACATTGGCTTGACCAATTCTTTCCTCTTGTGCCGGAATGTCATCTAGTATCGGCATCTCATGCCCCATAGGTCTACCATGTCTACTATTACCACGTCCACGTCTAGACATCCTAATAAAGGTAACAACAGGAGATTAGCACATTCTCACATGTGACGACGCTAACTCACGTATGTCCTAATACATTGGACGACAATAAATCATTCCATGTAAGCACATAGTCACAGAAGCACATACGAATTTTATTCCCAGAGAATGACCGTCCTACAGCGTTGCTAGAGTTCTAATTAGAAATAGCAGTGATCAAGTGCTCTTCCAATAGGACTTCTAAAAAACCGTAGACTCAATCAACATCTTAGGAACCAAATCCCATACTCACATAAGCATGTTATCACACAAGCATACAATACATGCTAACGTCTCAATCAAGCGAGACAAACCCATTGTGGTACTAACCACTTCCCACATACCCAAAGTATTCAAACTCGGTACACTCTGATACCAAGTTGTAACGCCCCCAAAATAACACAATAAAGATAGCGCATATGCGGAATAAATATGAGAAACAACATACTTTCATATATTAGAGTTCACTGTCTAACAACCAGTTAAATGCCACGTAGGCTTACATCGTTCCAAGTCATTGCTTGGTTACACAAATTGAGTGTCGCTCATTACATCATAAGTCCTTGGCTTTACAAATACCAAAATACACACAACAAGACATAATTAAGAAGCTCTTGCTTCCTGAAAGTCCATCCATGCTATTGCCTTGGAGGAAACATCTCATCTGCATCTGAAAATGGTATTCCTTTATAGGGTGAGCCAACAGCCCAGTAGAAATAATCAAACACAATTTATGAGGTTGAGCAGAGGTATAAATATCACGTACATAAACAATACCGATATGGAAGATTCCACGAGGCCTGCATATCCGTATGCCGCTAAGACCAATCTTATTCCATTTTTTCTTCAATTCATTTCCAGTTCATATATGCTACTCAATTCATGAGTTATATTCACTATCTTTCGACAACCAAAATGAGACTACAACTCAATGGTTTTCCAATTATGCAAATCACACATAAACACTTCAAACTTTCCATTTTACGGATATTTTGTCTGAAGGAAGCGCCACCCATTTATATATAAATTTTCGGGTCTTTCACCCAGGACACTCCGACCAACTTACTTTAAATGGTGTCCATCCCCTTTCTCCTCCCAAACAAATATACATATGCAATGTATTTATACACGCAATCATATATGGAGTAGATCCCCTTTCTCCTCCCAATAAACATATATATAATGTATTTATAACGTGGTCATATATGAAGTACATCCCCTTTCTTCTCCCAATAAGTATACATATACAATGTATTTATAACATGGTCATATTTAGTGACACCAACAATGGATTAGCATTAAATCGCCTAATCGTCCTGCAATTTCTATAACAATCATAGCTATCCTCCACCGATAGCCCAATGCAATTATTTCCAAGAGACGTTCAATATCGGAATAAATAGATTATTCAAAACTTCCATAGGTGAGATAATACATATCCAATATCACCATCTACAACCATAACCTTCCAATTTCACATTTTTAATGTTAATCCCAATTATTTATGCAAAATAATGATATAATCAAATTAGGGCAAAATCCCCCTTTTTACCAAATATCAACCCAAACACCAAAAATAACTATTTTGGCACAACTTGATCTTATTTTCAAGCCTCATACTCATTTACCTCATATTCATCAAAAACCCCTCTTTTCCATATAACATCCAAATCTTAGATTTGTCCAAACCACAACCAAATCTCATCATCTATACACAATAGAAAATAACTAAGCTAAAAACCATATTAGAGTGTAGAAAATCCCTACCTCAAGAAGAGAAGACGAGCACAGCAAGGTTGAACTCCAAAAATGGCGAAACCCACTTTTACTTAGATCAATACGAAGCTCTTGAAGCCCTGTACCTTATTCTCAAAGACACTAGGGTCAAGAACTCAATGGATTTAGAGAAATCAAAGAGAGAAGGTGATTTCTAGAGAGAGAAGCTTAAGATTTGGAAATTTGGAGACTTTTAGAGAGAGAGAGAGAGAGAAAGTAGAAAAGTGATTTGAAATGTCACTTTCACGATCTGTTATAACATGGTTTGCTCGAGCGTAGAAAGCCCCGCTCAAGTGTAAGACAAAGACTCCCATTCGAGCGTCAAACCCTGCGCTCGAGCATGAAATATGCTCTCCCAGTATTTTTGCAGACACAGTCCACCGCTCGAGCTCCTGAATGCCCGCTCGAGCATGGAGTAAAATTTGTGAAGCTCGCTCGAGCGGAAGAGCCAAATTCTGGGCAACAAAGGCTTAGAAAAACAAGCAACCAACCTGTTCCAAACGCACAACTACAACCCAATAACCCACATTTAGGGGAAGACAAGGAAAACAAGACATAAACCACCATCCAAACCATACAAACCCGAGTCTGGAACACCACAAGAGACGTGCCAAAACTAGGGTCGCTATATAACTTATGTTTATTAGTGATCCCCAATACTCAACTAAAGCATTTAATTCCCCTTGTATATTATAAATTTATATGCACATTCATAGTTAAGTGAATGTTGCACAGTCAAACCAAGAAAGAGAACAAGAAATAAGAAAAGAGAAAAATGTCTACTTGTATATGTTTAATTAATGTTTTATGAACATTTATGATGAGAAGCAAAAGTATACTTTGTTATTGGGCTTTCCGTTTTCTGAAAAGATATTTTGATCCATGATGATAGGCGATTCTTACAATCGTAGAGAAGGGATAGATACTTCTAAATTTGGGGTTGATCCTAGCTTGCCAACAGAAGAGGCCTCCCCCGATGTGGATATATCTGGGAATAGCGAAAGAGTTTCTGGTCGTGCATATCGTTGCAAGAAATGCCAGAGAGTTGTTGCATTGCAAGAGAATATTGTGGATCATGTTCCTGGAGAGGGGGAGACATCCTTTGGGTGGCATAAGAGGAAAGGCGATAACCCTTTCAATAAGTGTGACGAGGTTGAGTGCACATCTATCTTTGTTGAACCTTTACGTTGGATGACAACAGGTACAAAACATCAGCCTACTCCCTTCTATTTTGTCTAGAATTTCTGATATCTTGGCATAGCGCTGAATAAAGCTGCTGAAATAGATAAATAAGCTATGAAAAGTGGCCAAACATTGAAGTCTTTGGGCCCTCATTTGATGGGTGCATCCAATCAAATAGTTTTGTCAGATTTTCAATGTAAATCCCACATTTGGAATAAATGAACAGAGATTGTAGGCATGTTCTATGAACATCTCCCCTCCTAACATGTTTTTGTAAAATGTATAGTATTGATCATTTATTTTGTAACATTAAAAAAATTGGATTATAAAAAGTATTTCAATATAATATCTCGGTTGGTATTGGTGTAAATTTTTTAAAACCAAAACAGATCATACCTTCTGAAAAATAGGCCGGAAACCAAAATTTCAGTCATTCTCGAGTGGTCGGTTGGTTCAGTTCGGTTCGGTTCGCTTCCATCTATTTTTTTTTTGTTTTTTTTTTGTTCGGCCCTAGTGTTTATGGTTTAATTGGGGAGTTGCTAATAGGTCATCATTCAATTGATCCTACTTGCAAATGTCCAAGCCTAGTTGTCTTTCTTTCATTCTGAAGGTTATCCATTTATGCTCAAATGACAAAGTCCCCACCTTTTATTGGTATCTTTTGTGACATTTACACTATAATTTGCATGAAGATGATTTGAAATTTTAGCTTTTGATTCTTGTTACCCCTTGGCACCAGTTGAAGAAGGTGCATTAGAGGGCAAGCTTTTATGTGTCCATTGTGAAGCTTGCTTGGGTTACTTCAATTGGTCGGGCATCCAATGCAGTTGTGGTGGCTGGATCACCCCAGCTTTTCAGCTGCATAAAAGACTAGTCGACATCAGCACTGTCTGATGGTTTTCAAGGCAGAAGAGGTATGTGCCTATATCACCTTGCTAGAACATGGAATACAGTAAAGCGGTACCTAGTAATAAAATCTTGAATTGTGGTATACCAATAATATGAGAGCACAATTTTTGAGTCAAGGGTTGGATGTTTGAGAACTTGTTTATATTTGCTTTCTTTTTGCATAGTGTCTTTGATAACCAGCAGCAGCAGAGGAGTGATGTTTTAAGTGCCTGGCCTTTTGTTCATAGTATATGGTTTAAGTCATAGTGGGTGTTTGGGAGGTGAGTTTTTTTGTAGGTTTTTTTAGTTGTAGGATATTATTGGAGAATTTTTTTTTTGTGTTTGGGAAGATAGTTAAGTTTTTTTGTGATTAAATGTGATGTTTGCGGGAGAAAAAATAAAATGATTATAAGGTTTAATATGATATTTTGTTTGAATTTATTTATTTTGATTTTATAACTAATTTGTCTTTTAATGAAAAAAATTAAAAAAAAACCTAAAAAATTTGTTCCCCAAAATTTATAAATAATGTGGTAACAAAAATTTTGTAATTATAGGCATATAATGCATTGTGTACATAAATTTTGTGGACATTTACTGCAATGTTGTAATCCTTTATCAAAAAGCCATAGAAGAACCACATGATAGCACATAGTGTGAGGAAAAGTGAGTGTGCAAATGGCATGTACTCCACGCTCTTCGTTTTTATAACCAACCTCTATAAAATAAACAAAAAAGCACATGAACATATACATCATAAAAGTAATAATTTTATCAACACAAATTTTAAATTATTTTATATGATTAATTATGTATTTGTCACGACCCAAACCTGTCCCTATGGGTTTAGTACCGTAACCGGCCAGTAATCCATGATTACTGAAGGCCTGCTTAATAGTAATAATAGTAATACAGAGTACAAGGGCTGGCAGAAGCCAAAACAGTAATAAAAGATGCCCAATGAGCTGTGATAGTCTGTATGCCAAAAAAAACTTTTCATAGATATTCACATTCAAAACAAAAGCAGTACGTACGTACATCATATACAGGCATTCAAGTTAGGGACCAAACCCCTACCATAACAGTACAGTACAAGTCTATACAGTCTATACAAAATACAGACAGAAAGGGGGAATCTAAAACACCCTGAAGCAACCTTGGCTTGGACACACTTGGAACCTTGCAGTGCGGTACGTTGGTTGGCTTGACAAAAA